GGATGGGGAGCTTCATGAGTTTGTAGCCATTAATTACATAATGCGACCTGGGACACCCATACTGGCTGGAGGCTCCCTCCTTTGGAGACTACAATAATATGTTCTATCTGTGAGCTATACGTCTTCGACTTGCTCGCTATACGGACCAACAGGGGCCTAGCACGGTGGGGGCCCTGCAGCGTGTGGTGTGTCTCTTATTTCCAACTGGACTTTAGACAAATTTGGGTAGCCACTTTTTTAGAACTTAGTATGTGGGGTTGCTCCTCTAGACCGTGAAGCGGCTCGCTACTACTTATTGTGAAGCTGCTCTTTTGGTCTGCGAAGTTGCTCCTTGACATCTATTTGTGTAGCTGCTTCTTGAGAACTCAATACCTGAAGCTACTCCTGCGAAGTCACCCTTTGATATCTACTGTGTAGCTGCTGCTTGAGAACTTGAGAATTCAATGCTGGAATTACTCCAGCAAAGTTGCTCCTTCGTCATCCATTTGTGTAGCTGCTTCCTGAGAATTCAGTGCCTGGAGCTACTCCTACGAAGCTGCTCCTTGATATCTATTTGTGTAGCTGCTTCTTGAGAACTTGAGAACTTAGTGCTTGGAGCTACTCCTGTGAAGTTGCCCCTTCGATATCTATTGGTGTAGCTGCTTCTTGAGAATTCAGTACTGGGAGCTACTCCTACGAAGTTGCTCCTTGATATCTTTTTGTGTAGCTGCTTCTTGAGAACTCAGTACTGGGGTGACCCCTCTAGACTTGAAGTCGCGCTCGTTATATTTATTTGTGAAGCTGCTCTTTGGATACTTAACTGTGAAGCGGCCCTTTAGTTGTGAAGCTGCTCTTTCATATCTGTTAATATCCTGTTAATACCTGTAAATATTTGCATCCAACCATCAGTCACCAACTGACATCAGATATCCTCGGCTTGCCAAGGGTCAGTCGTCTTTTACCCATCCAATAGTGAGTTTATGTGGTTAGGGAAATATATGTATTTGACCCACTGACCAAATTTTAGTTATTCCTATGTTTTATTCTTGGTAGGGTTTTGATAGTGTATATTGTATTGAATGCTGGGGAGGTTCTGAGCCACCTGTTTATTGAAAGATTACCAACAGCTGCAGCTTGAAGGCCATGAGTAAAGGAATGGCTTAGCTTCCCTGGGTCTCAAGGTCAAGCTGCTGATATTTCCCAAACCACTCTGCTTACAAATCGCACCTTCCCTTCCCTTTGCCTTATTATATGTAGCTTATTATATGTAGTAATTGCCAATTCTTTGCTGATATTATTGCACTATTGCACTCTAAACGAAGGTCGTTTAATTTAACTCCTCTTCATACTACTGCGATAGACGACAGATTAGCACCTTAATCAACCGAGGAACACCTCTTGACTAGAAATCTCAATGCTACTCTTGAACTGTCATTTTAAGTTTGCATTTGCACTTTACATTGTGCACTTTACAATCTTTCTTAATAATGGTCAAATGGCCGGAGAGAACTGGAGATGGTTTTATGAATCAGAGGAGTGGAGCTACAAGAACGATGAAAGTGATGCATTGATAATTGGCCGAGGCAATGATATGCTACATAACAGTGCAATATTACATTGTCGGGATGTGAAGAATAGGGGTGGGAGGGAGGGGGAGAGTTCCAGTCCTCGGGGGCCCCGCATAGAGGTGATGATGGGGAGGTGGAGATATGGGAAAGGGAGAATTAAGAAACCAATTCGGCTAATTCGTGAACAAACTCTGAGGAAAATTCCAAAATGTTCTCCTGACTTGGTAAACATGGGTTCCAAGGTAGACGGTCCGCCTGGATTGAAAGTGGTGCAGTTGAACGCCAGGTCTGTCAATGGTAAAACATCAACCATTCAGGATCTAATACTTGAGGAAAAGGCAGATCTGGCGTGCATCACGGAGACCTGGTTGGACGAGGCTGGAGGGGTTAATCTCACCCAGCTTTGCCCACCAGGTTATGCCATGCAGCACCAACCGAGATCCGGGGGGTGGGGAGGCGGAGTTGCAATAGTCTATAAAGATTCAATTTCCTTGATCAGGTGCCCAGCCTTACAGTCGCCCTTGTTTGAATGTGTCCACCTGAGGTTAGGAGACCGGGACAGAATAGGGCTGTTGTTGGTGTACCGACCACCCCGCTGCACCACGACCGCCCTACCTGAGCTTGCAGAGTTGGTCTTGGGCCTGGCATTGGAGTCCCGGCAGCTGGTAGTGCTGGGGGACTTCAATGTCCATGCAGAGACCACTCTTTCAGGGGCGGCTCAAGACTTCATGGCCGCCATGGCAACTATGGGGCTGTCCCTGCTAGTATCTGGCCCTACCCACTGTGCTGGACACACACTTGACTTGGTCTTCTGTCAGGGCTGGGAAGAAGGTGGCGGTGTGGAGGATCTGTCAATCTCTCATTTGCCGTGGACTGACCACAACCTGATCAGGTTTTGACTTGCCGCAACTTCTAACCTTCGCAGGGGTGGTGGACCCATTAAGATGGTCTGCCCCAGGAGGCTTATGGATCCAGATGGACTCCTGATGGCTCTTGGGGATGCTTCTGCTGCCTTGGATGGTGATTCTGTCAATGCCCTGGTCACTCACTGGAATAGCGAGTTGACTAGGGCAATAGACATGATTGCTCCGAAGCACCCCCTTTTAAGTCGCCGAGCTAAACCATCTCCTTGGTTTAACGAGGAGCTGGTGGAGTTGAAGCGAACAAAGAGGTGGCTAGAGAGCGTGTGGCGGAAAACGCCCAGCGAGCCAAATCGAACACGCCTATGCCTATATCTAAGGGCATATAGCGCTGCAATAGAGGCCGCGCAAAAGGCTTTCTATTCAGCCAATATTGCATCCGCAAGGAACCGTCCGGCAGAGCTGTTTCGAGTAGCCAGAGGGTTGCTGAATCCCACCTCGAGTCGGTCCCCTGACGACTCAGCAGCGCGCTGTGAAGCATTTGCTCAGTACTTTGCGGACAAAGTCGCTTTGATCCGTTCGGGCTTTGACACCACATTAACGGCAGTCTCTGAGGATGTAACTCAAGCATCTGCTTGTCCAGCTTTGTTGGATTCGTTTTGATCTGTTCAACTCGACAAGTTCCTAGTAGACACGGACTATCTAGATCCGGCGCAGTCTGGCTTTAGGCCGGGACATGGTACTGAGACAGCCTTGGTCGCCTTAGTGGATGATCTTCGCCGGGAACTGGACAGTGGGAGTGTGTCCCTGTTGGTTCTGCTGGACCTCTCTCCGGCCTTCAATACCATCGACCACGGTATCCTTCTGAGATGCCTCGCGGGAATGGGTCTTGGGGGTACTGCTTTGCAGTGGCTCCAGTCCTTCCTTGAGGGTCGTTCCCAGAAGGTGTCACTAGGGGACACCTGCTCGACTCCTCGGCCATTGTACTGTGGAGTCCCGCAGGGTTCAGTACTGTCCCCTATGTTGTTTAACATATACATGAAGCCGTTGGGAGAGATCATCCGAGTTTTGGGGTGCGGTGTCATCTGTACGCAGATGATGTCCAACTCTATCACTCCTTTCCACCTGCTACTAAGGAGGCTGTCGAGGTCCTGAACCGGTGCTTGGCCGCTGTAACGGACTGGATGAGGGACAACAGATTGAAACTAAATCCAGACAAGATAGAGGTACTCCTGGTCAGTCGGAAGGCCGAACAGGGTACGGGGTTACAGCCTGTGCTGGACGGGGTCACACTCCCCCTAAAGGCGCAGGTTCGCAGTCTGGGAGTTCTTCTGGACTCATCGCTTAACCTGGAGCCCCAGGTCTCAGCGGTGGTCATGGGAGCTTTTGCACAACGAAAACTTGTGCGCCAGCTGCGCCCGTACCTTGGGAAGTCTGACTTGGCCACGGTAGTACACGCTTTGGTTACATCCCGTTTAGATTACTGCAACGCTCTCTACGTGGGGTTGCCTCTGAAGATTGCCCGGAAGCTGCAGCAAGTACAACGCGCGGCAGCCAGACTACTAACGGGTGCTGGTACAGGGAGCACACCACTCCGCTGTTACACCAGCTCCACTGGCTGCCAATTAGCTTCCGAGCACAATTCAAAGTGCTGGTGTTAACCTATAAAGCCCTAAATGACTCCGGCCCTGTTTACTTCTCCAAACGTATTCTCCTCTACGCACCATCAAGATTACTAAGATTGTCTGGTGAGGCCCTGCTCTCGGTCCTACCGGCCTCACAAGCGCGTCTGGTGGGGACGACGGACAGGGCCTTCTTGGTGGTGGCCCCACAACTCTGGAACTCTCTCGCACCAGAGGTCAGAACCGCCCCATCTATCCTGACATTCAGGAAACGGGTGAAGACGTGGTTGTGGAGACAGGCTTTCAATGAATGAGACAACACCCTAGGATTTTGGATGGAAGATGAGGTATACTTGTTTTTAATATGACGACTGACCACCGTAGTTTTAAATATATTTGTTATTTTAAATATGTTATTGTAATTATGAATTATGATATTTTACTGATTTATGTTTTTATGGTTATAAACCGGGCTGAGTCCCTCAAAGAGGTGAGAAGCTCGGTATAGAAAACTTTGAAATAAATAAATAAATAAATAGTCTGTTGGAGCTAGGTGTGAATGTTTCAACTGACCACCTTGATTAGCTTGAAACATTCACACCTAGCTCCAACATACAAGAGTTCTTTGTCCGACCCTGGTATTCCACAGATATATAAAGCCAGTTTTCCTAGTTCCAAAAGACCTCACAACCTCTGAGGATGCTTGCCATAGATGCAGGTGAAATGTCAGGGGAAACATGCCTCTAGAACATGGCCATATAGCCCGAAAAAAACCTACAACAACCCAGTGATTCCAGCCATGAAAGCCTTCAACAACACATAATAAATATATGTTTTCTGATGGTTTTGGTGACCCCTCTGAAACTTCCTCACCCCCCCCCCCCGGGTTCCTAACCCCCAGGTTGAGAAATGCTGCTTAAGAGTCTCTGATAATCAGAATAAACAGGAAGATCATTGAACTATACCTGATTTCAGGTGTGCAATAGCATTCAACAGAACTGCTACAAAACGCCCTGCATTCTCCAGGTGAGATGAAAGGATGTAGAGGCACCTGTTATTAGCATCGTAGTAGAAATCCTTGACAAACTGTATAGGTTCTTGGACCTCCATGGAGCCTTGTTTGGGGATTGTTTGAGCCAAGAGGACTACCAACGCTGGGAAGGAGAGGACTTTTCCCAGCAGATGGGCCACAGCACAGCCAAAGCGGTAGACCACAAAATGGCGAGGAGACAAGCCAGTCAGGTTGATGGGAAGCAAGGTATCAACGTTAGGTCCAGAAGCAAAAGGGCTGCCATCCTCCATTACCCCTGGAAAGATCAGAAATTGATGTTTAAATTCAAGCATCATCACCATTATTGTTATTAATACATTTTATTATTATTAAATTTAGATTTGCCAATTTTCCAATCATAGGACTGAAGTGCAAATTAGTGCAAATTACAGTGCAAATTAGTGAAAATCACAGTGCAAAATAGGAAGTACACAAAACATCAGCATACATGCACACTTTAAGAAGGAAAAAAATTGCTAAAATTAATCACTAATTTCTTTGAGAAAAAAACCAGCGTCGTGAACCAGAAGCCTTAAAGGAGCCAAACACACAGTAAAAGTCCAAACAATGTTTATTAATGTATCAAAAATAGCTTAGGAACACTTAAATCAGTGTTCCTAGTGATAACTAAGAGTCTGCAGCAACTGCTGTGCAAAAAACGTAACTTAGAATATAATCTGGATTATATTGAGATATAATATGGGATAACAAAAAGCTCTAGCAAACTGCTTCAGAATCACAGAGTTCAATAACCATGAGGAAACAAGGTGGTAGCAAGCAAAATCGTAGTCCAGAAACAGTCCCAAGTCAAAACAAATTCAAAAGCAGAAGATAAAGTCCAGGAAGTGATGTCATCATCCAAAAACAATCCGGAGTCAATACGGGAGTTCAAGTCAGCACTTACGAGATTCCAGTCTGTAGAAGCACGGTAACACAGCAATCTGCAGTCTCAGGACCCAAGTCAAGAGTAATGGCAGCAACAAAATCCCAAGCACGAATACAACACTTTGCCTACTGCAAAGTCCCCAATGTTTGATACCTTCTTTTATCCTCTAACTCATTATCGGATGATGAAGTGCTCTCCACCCTGTCTTCATCACTCTCAGTTGCCTTAGCTTCCACAGCTGCTCATCACCACCTGTCCCTCCATTTTTTCCAGCGTCTATCAAGACTTAGATCACCCCACGTATTACCAGGTTGCCAGTCTCCCGAAAACCCTTCAAACTCATCACTAGATGTTGGTTGTGTACATATGTCCCTGATCTCTTGCACACGGGTCGAGTCCAGCCCATCCTCCTCTCCGTTATCACTCCCAGTCCCATAACTCCCCGTGAACCCCATAAAGTCTTTCTCCTCAGTTGGAGCATTAAGTATTTCACAGATCCGCTTCCTTTCCCGTTCTTCATCTGACTGTTGCTCCTGAATAACCCGCTTCAAATCTCTACTCCTGTCTCCCTCCTCCTCCATTTCAGAATCTCAGAAACCTTCGAACAAATCAGTATCTGTAGGTGTCATGAATATCTCCCTAATTCATTTCCTTTGCTGCTCTTGTTCCAACACCCAAGCAGCCCTCTTTCCCCTTCTACTACCAGTTGTAGCATGACCAGCACACTCTACTACAACAACCAGTGAAGAATTGCAGCTCAACCTTTTAGCATTATATGTGAGGCCCTGAAATACTGTTGAAATTGTCCACGTTTGTGGATTTCAATGGCTTCTCTGTGTAGTCTGACATGGTGGTTGTTGGAGTGGTCCAGCATTTCTGTGTTCTCAAATAATATGCTGTGTCCAGGTTGGTTCATCAGGTGCTCTGCTATGGCTGACTTCTCTGGTTGAAGTAGTCTGCAGTGCCTTTCATGTTCCTTTCCTCCCAGAAAGGAGAAAACCATGAAAATGAACAAAATCTGGCTACCAGTACTAAAAAACTCTATAATTAGAACAGCACAACAACAGAGAGGAAACAAACAAGGGCATCTAATCACCTCTCAACAAAGGATTGCTCCAGACACTGCCAGGCAATCAAATGCTAATCAAGATGATCAGTTGAAACATTCACAGCTGGCTCCAGCAGACATGAGTCCTTTGTCCCACCCTGGTCATTCCACAGATATAAAAACCCCTTTTTTCTAGTTCCAACAGACCTGAATACCTCTGAGGATGTTTGCCGTAGATGCAGGCGAAATGTCAGGAGAAAATGCCTTTAGAACATGGCCATATAGCCCGAAAAAACCTACAACAACTCACTTTGAGAATCACTATGTAAGTGCATCTTTATTAAAAATTTGGAATAGATATAAGGAGAAATTTTATATGAAAACACCTCTGTGGATTTCACCCTTGGAAGCGGGTCCAAGAAGACCACTGGGCTGGAATGCTTGGCCAAGTTATAAAGATATTTTGAAAAACAAGAACAGCACAGTAGAAATGAGATTCCCAGAAGAAATAAAACGGAAATACAAAAACACCTCATGGTATCAATATTTACAAATGAAGGAATACTACAACAAAGATAAAATAATATTAATTGTGCCCAGAAGGATATAAAAGAAACATTCAAATTCAACACCTGGAGAAGAAGGGGAATAAGGAGGTTGTTGTGATGCCTCCAAAAACTGCTTGATCTCCTGCAATGTCCTGGCAAGGGGAGATGTTGCCACCAGGGCCTCGAGTTCTAGCTCGGTCACACAAGCAAGAATGGTGCCCTTGCGAGTCAGCAGGTCCAACCCTGATGAACACAGACAAAGCAAATCAGCCTACAGCTAGACTTTTGGTGGCTATCTCTGTATGCGCCGGGGAGCTATTACCTAACATGCAAGGGACATTTGCGTAATCTAAAAATGATCTGCTTCATAAAAGATGGGCTTCACTTTTGTGTTTTTATTATATATGGATTTGATTGGAGTCCCCAGTGACGCAGTGGGTTAAACTGCTGAGCTGCTGAACTTGCTGACCAAAAGGTCACCGGTTCAAATCCAGGAAGTGGGGTGAGCTACCACTGTTAGACCAAGTTTCTGCCAACCGAACATATTGAAAAACATGCAAATGTGAATAATAATAATAATAATAATAATAACTTTAGTTTTATATCTGCTGTGAGTCGCCTAAGGGCTGAGAACAGCGGTATACAAATAAAGTAAGTAAATAAATAAATAATACCCCACCACCGTCTACCCGAAGGGACTCATGGTGGCTTACAAGGGGACAAGCTCGAAAATACAGATTAAAACACACACTATAAAATAAAATGATACAAAATAAAATCAACAAAAACATCAGAAAAACATTACAACCAAAAATACATTTTAAAAACAGCATAATGCCCGAAAGATTAAGTACTGAGTTCGGAGGATCAGGAAATGTTCAATCGTTCCACGACAGAACCCAGGGGAAAGTGCAAGATGTGTTTCAATTCAGTTAAGGCCATAGCTAGGAGGGTAACGTCCTTAGGCATTACAGTAATAGGATTTGATCAATAGTTACCTCTGGTGGGAAGGTAACTGTGCTCCATGCAGTCATGCTGGCCACATAACCATGGTGGCATCTATGGACAACACCGGCTCTTTGGCTTAGAAATGGAGATGAGCACCAACCCCCAGAGTCGGACACGACTGGACTTAATGTCAGGGGAGAACCTTTACCTATTACCTATGGAGTTGATTCATACAATGTCTCTAGAAATATCTAGGTCTTCCAGGACAATTCTTGATCTATATTTGAAACAGATCACTAAGTTCACTTAGCCTTTCAACCACTCTATCCTTTGACACTGGTTTCCAAATGCAAGGTAGTCAAAGGATGATTCTCCAGCAAGACAGGCAACCTCTGCCCCTTCATCTTCTAATGGATGACAACTCCCATTATCCACACCAATTGTCTGCATTGGTGGTTGAGAGGAGTAGGGTCCAACAACATCTGGAGGATCTCAACTTCCTACCTAAGTGACCAAACTGGTAACAGGGTGTGAGCTACTCTCTGGTCTCATTGCCTGGCTGAAGGGATCTCTTATTTGCTTCTTTAACCAGAAATGTAAAATACTCAGGAAGGGGACAAGCTGACAGTTTGTGTAAAATATGGTACTAAAGAGTAAAGGTTTGTTTTCTTCTTCTCCTTTCAAAACTCCTCCAACTGGAAGTGATACATGGAGAGAGAGTTTGTTTAAAGGTGAAACAATTACTTAGTTTATTTGTATCATTCTTATGGTATAAGCGTAGTGGTTACATAAGATCAAATGCTTGGTGCTTACAGAACGAAGTTTCAATATGAGTTTCTCTCAAAATTATTCTTTTCTTCCAAAAGGACTGTTATGCGAATACAACAACAATTTTTATTGATTAGCCAATTGGCCTTATCAAAAGTTATGCGAATACATAAGAACAGGTTTCAAACTATCTTTAACTTGTTTCTTTAACCAATTTTCCAGCTGCTCCTCAGCTATTTCTTTCCAGCCCCTAACTCACTGACTTTCCTGAACTGCCTCCAGCCAACTACCTAACTGCTATAGAATGTTCAGTTGGACTTCTTCAACTGTCATCCTTGACTAATCAGGTCATTCACATGCAAATGGATTCCCCACTGGTGCTACTGTTCTCTGGGCAACACAAAATGGCTGTTCGCTTGTCAGCCCTAGTAAGGTAGGTCACTTACTAACTTTCTAAAGTGAGCCAAAGTCACTACAAGGCCATCTCACTTACCTTGGTCTTCACATCCATGGGAACTAAGAGAAGCCCACTTTCCACCGGAGAAGACATGATTCTGCAGCACACCAGCATCCTATGAGGAACAATGTTAAAGAAGTACAGGGTAGTAATAGAGGAAGAGCTGTCAGAGTTCACCAAAGGAGAAACATTACTCTTACCAAGCAGCATTGCTGAGTTCCTACTTGCTCTCGAATGGCTGCCTCATTGTGCCCTTGAGACTTTTCTTGCTTAGCTGTTGCTTTCCCCCAATGAATTTTGCGCAGCAGCATTCCCAATGATTTCATTAAGTCTGTGGCTTCCTGCCACTCACAGCCTGGAAGACATGTACATTTTAGTGATAAGCTCATTCTGCTTCTTTGGAGAGAGATCTCTGAAAACTAGTAAGAGCTAGTGTTTCTTTAGTGACTTAGACATCATTACAGTGGCCTTCTCTAATCTGGGCCCTCCAGATGAGCTTATAACAACCCCCATGAACCCCAAACTTGGTCATTACTGAAGAACTTTGGAGTACATATTGGAGGGGTATAGTTGGAGTAATGTAGCCCATTACTGGTTGGAGTAATATGTCACGTACATAGAAAAAATATTAAAAGAACTAGCCGTCCCCTGCCACGTGTTGCTGTGGCCCACATGGGGGTTCTGTGTAGGAGGTTTGGCCCAATTCTATCGTTAGTGGGGTTCAGAATGCTCTGTGATTGTAGGTGAACTATAAATCCCAGCAACTACAACTCCCAAATGTCAAGATTCTATTTTCCCCAAACTCCACCAGTGTTCACATTTGGGCATATTGAGCATTTGTGTAGAGTTTGGTCCAGATCCATCATTGTTTGAGTCCACAGTGATCTCTGGATGTAAGTGAACTACATCTCCAAAACCAAAGGACACTGCCCACCAAACCCTTCCAGTATTTTCTGTTGGTCATGGGAGAACTGTGTGCCAAGTTTGGTTCAATTCCATCGGTGTTGGGGTTCAGAATGCTCTTTGATTGTAGGTGAACTATAAATCCCAGGAACTACAACTCGCACATGACAAAATCATTTTTTTGAGTGAAGGACATACATTGGGTTGTTAGGTGTCTTGTGTCCAAATTTGGTGTCAATGCGATCAGTGGTTTTTGAGTTCTGTTAATCCCACAAACAAACATTACATTTTTATTTATATAGATGTAGAAGTGCTGTTAAGAAGATGTAAAAGCGAACATACCTTTTCTGGAACATCTAAAAAACTCAAAAACCTTTGAAATCCAGGAAGCAAGAATTTTTCACTCCCTGTTTCCTCGATCTCTCACCTGAATAGCCCATTGCTTGCAACACTCCAGAAAGTTTGGCTGCAGAATTCTCACTTTGTTGGGTCTCCTTGAAGGTGCTGAATGTGACCTGGGTTCTGTCCCCTGAAACCTTTGACCTTTGTGGTGCTCCCCATTCACTCAAGTCTAGTGTTTGTACCATATCCTAGAAAAAGAGAGCATTGTGCAGAATACTTACCTACATATCTGTAGAAAATAAACTTTCTTCACAGACAATGTTATGTTCTGTGAAATGTTTATAAATTGTGCATGGCAAGACTCAACCTACAGCACCTTCTGAACAGAAGACAGGACTTAGTAGGCATAAAATAGTATTTCTACATAAAAAGCATGTTTGCATTTTGAAAACATGCTTGTCAGTTCCTGATACTCAAGAAACACATTTGTCAACTATTTGTATAAATATTATTCCCATTTTCTGGAAGGAAGTGGTTCACTAAAATGGCTGGATTCTAAACAATGCTGATGGAGAAACCTTCTTTTCCTCTCCCCGTACCTCTGCTAAATCTCTACTGCAGCATTTCTCAACCCTGGGGGTCAGGGCCCCGGGGGGGGGGGGGTCGTGAGTGGGTTTCAGAGGGGTTGTCTAAGACCATCAGAAAACATATTTCTGATGGTCTTAGGAAGAAACAATCAGAAATATACAGACAGAGAAAGCTGAAAGATATCTCCACCTGTCCAGAATGCTCTTTGACTGTAGGTGAACTATAAATCCCAGCAACTACAACTCCCAAAGATAAAGTTATAGTCCTCCACTGTGATTGGCTGGCTTCTGAGCAGGCCTCTCAGCCAAGGGGAGGGCTGTTTCTGAGACTCCAAGTGGGGAGGGGAGAGCAGGTGTGCTCAGTATAAAGATCCGATAAATCAAATCTCACTCGCTGACATCAAATTATAAAGTACCGATTGATCAAATGACCATTCAAACTATAAAGTTTTGATCAAACGATCACTCAAGCTGCCACCAATATTATAGACCGGATCAATAAAGGATTTCACCAGCTGCCAAATGAAATATGTAACGATCACCGTTCAATGGATAGACACCAACGTGTAGAGCAGCCACTAATTATTAAGGGCTAACCAGAATTATTAGGCTTTTTACTCATGAAAGAACTCTTTTTATATTTAATAGAGAGAAACATAAACTGAGTAAGTTATGGCTATACAACTACTGATAACTGAGAATTGTTGAAACTGTTTCTTCTGCTTGGCTGACACCAGGCCCGTAGCCAGGATTTCGTTTCGGGGGGGGGGGGGGGGGGTAAAAAATTTTCAGGGGGGGTTTCGGGGGGGCTGAGTTTCGGGGGGGGGCTGAGTCTGAGTGAAAGAGGGTCTAGCCTAGCAAACCTTTTGTATCATTACCCCAATACCCCCATGCATATGGGATATATTGAGTATGGCGATCAGATCATGATATGAATAAACATAACAGTTTAAATAATGCACCAGTAAGGCCTTTTCGCGAACCACCATGAGAATTTCGGGGGGGGGGGCTGAAGCCCCTCAAGCCCCCCCCCCCCCCCCCGGCTACATGCCTGGCTGACACTGTTAGCTTTCTATTTTTAGTGCTGAGAGAAAAAACCAAGTGGCACAATCTTTTGTGTTACAATGCAGTTTGTTCTTCAGAGAGATTAAATGCTTATTTAAAGTATCCACACATATTCTGTGGTAATGTGAAAATAGAATGAAACGTTTATTAAACAATCTTGAAAAATCTTCAGGTACAGAATGCTTATTGGTTTCCTTAAAAATAGTACAGTGCTTGAATTAAATTCCAGTTACAACTTTCAAACTGAGAATTTATATCTTCTCCTAGAATAGATTCTTCCCTACAAACAGCCCAATAAACAGTGTCTGTCTAGAACCAGTTCTTCTTCTGAAGTAACTACCTAAATCTATTTCTAAGTTAGACTTCTCACTAAATCTTCTCTGCTATTCTCCAACTACAACTGCTCTCTCTAACTCTTCATTCTAACCCTCTCCTCAGGATTTTTAAAATGCTCCTTTTTTCCTCTCAGCTTCTCCTAAACTCCGCCCCCTTTCTCTACACCAATCCTGGTCATTCCCTGCTGTCTAATGCCTAAGACACGTCCCCCTGCTCTGAACTACACTCAAGATGGCGTCTCCCCTTCTCCAAAATGGCTGCTGATGTTTCGCCCTGCCCATTCCCTATCTTTCTAAGCGTACAGGCTTTTTCCTGGCCCTGCATCCTGGCTGTAACTAAGGTAAGGGTTCTTCACACTCAGCACATGGCAATGTGGTGCACATGTGCAGGCGAGGGAGAGCGTGTGATGTTGAAGAGACGCTCGCGCCTGTGAGTCCCTTCAAGGCATGGGGGTTCTGTGTGGGAAGTTCTATCATTGCTGGGGTTTAGAATGCTTTTGATTGTAGGTGAACTATAAATCCCAGCAACTACAATTCCCAAATGTCAAGATCTATTTTCCCCAAACTCCACCAGTGTTCACATTTGGGCATATTGAGTATTTGTGCCAAGTTTGGTCCGGATCAATCATTGTTTGAGTTCACAGTGTTCTCTGGATTTAGATGAACTACAAATCCAAAACTCAAAGTCAATGGCCACCAAACCCTTCCAGTATTTTTTGTTGGTCATGGGAGTTCTGTGTGCCAAGTTTGGTTCAATTGTATTGTTAGTGGAGTTCAGAATACTTTTTGATTTTAGGTTAACTATAAATCCTAGCAACTACAACTCTCCAATGGCAAAATGTATTTGTGCCAAAATTGGTCCAGTGAATGAAATTACATCCTGCATGTCAGATATTTACATTATTAGTCATACAGTTATGAAGTAGCCACAAAAATAATGTTATGATTCGGGGTCACCACAACATGAGGAACTGTATTAAGGGGTCACGACATTAGGAAGATTGAGAAACACTGCTCTACTGTGTACTATAGAGGTATTCCAGTATCTCAGACCAAATTACTGACCACAAGACTCTGTATCTTCTGGCTGATCCCTTGGTAAAACACCAGGACATCGGCCCGATGTTTTGCAAGCTGTGATGCAAGATGTAGATTCTGGTCCTCCAGTTTGTCATACAAAGTACGAACACTGAAATCTTCTAGATCTCTTACAATGAATCGATCCCCTAAAAGCAAAAATCCATTAATGCCTTTGGCTATGTCAAGAAGCAGCAAAATTGACAGTGGCTTCATGTGAACACTTTTCACATATTGAATCCAGTATTTGCTTTCATCAGGTGTGGGGGATGAACACTCATTTTGGACTCCCCCCCCCCCCAGATCCTTTAGTTATTATTGCTATATGAATGAATATTGGGAGTTGTAGTGCAAATTAAATAAATAAATAAAACTCCGGGTCGTTGTAGGTTTTTTCAGGCTATATGACCATGTTCTAGAGGCATTCTCTCCTGACGTTTCGCCTGCATCTATGGCAAGCATCCTCAGAGGTTGTGAGGTCTGTTGGAACTAGGAAAATGGGTTTATATATCTGTGGAATGGCCAGGGTGGGACAAAGGACTCTTGTCTGCTGCAGCTAGGTGTGAATCAACTGACCACCTTGATTAGCATTTGATGGCCTGCCAGTTCTTTGGTGTGGCTTATTAGTGCCCGAGGGAATCTTTTGTTGAGAGGTGATAAGCCTTCCACAATACAAATAAAACTCTTCTTCAAGCTGTTCTCTCGGAGTAGAAACACCACCATCTACTGGCATCAAGTGCGACTGCAAACAGGATAGTGAAATTTTCACCCTTTAAGCCCCCATGAGACAAAATGTAAGCTTGTTGGGGTATCAGGCACCAGAAAAATGGCCAAAAATAAAAATGTCACTTTTATTTTAGAGGAGGTATAAGGAAGACAATTATGCTGGGGAAAATGGAAGGAAAAAGGAAGAGGGGCCGACCAAGGGCAAGATGGATGGATGGCATCCTTGAAGTGACTGGATTGACCTTGAAGGAGTTGGGGGTGGTGATGGCCGACAGGGAGCTCTGGCGTGGACTGGTCCATGAGGTCACAAAAAGT